TAGTCTTGTCAACGGACCCCGATTTTAACTCCGAAAAATCCTTCTTTTTAGTTCCGACTCCGACTCCGAAAAATATTTTTTTGCGATTCCGCTTCCAGCTCCGACGCCGAAAATTTTCAAATTGTCGGAGTTGGAATCGAGTTTCGGAGGGTAGTGCAGTTCTCTATATGACAGACAGAAGTGACATATTATGAAAAAAATTGAAACTCTTAATTCACTGTGTTTACCGCGATACAAGAATTTTCCTGTTACTGTATTTCCTTATATAAGCAAATAAAAAAATAAATTATAACTCTTGAAAGAAACGCTATGGAAATAAATTCTTTTAAAGTTTTGGTTAGGACACTATGCTCCATCAACCGTTACAATACCTTTGAAAACGGAGGGTGACACCTCGGAGGTTCCCTCGTTTGTTCGAAACAAAAGTGTAATGACTCTAACTTCTGCATGTTATGGTGAAAATATATTCAGTGCAATAATATCTCTTGAACTGTAAATAAACATAAAACTTTCCTAAAGTATACAATTATAGCTTACGTTAGTTCTACTAATTGTTCAAAGTTTAATCTCAATATAATGGACACAAAAGAAAATAAGGAAGTTTTTTAATTTTTCTAATAAACATTTTTGACTAACCTTGACTTCAAGATTGAAATTATTTTGTTTATGCTAAGCTTCTTCAATATTATCTTGAATATCAGAAATTTTTTGTTGAAAGCGTCCAACATTGTCTGTTAGCTCACGCAATTGAGTTTCATTTTCATCAATTATTTCAGACACAACCTAATTCATTCACGCATTCACAATTTGTAATGATAATATAAAACATTTTGAAATACCTGAACTAAGAGTAAACGTTCTTCTTTTTCTTCATTAGTATTCGATGGTTTTGTAAATTTTCTTCAGTTCTCAAAAATGTATTCTTTACTTTAATTATACGCTGAATTAAATCACTTAATCGATTTCCTGTAGAATTTACGCGAATAAAAAATTGATTTTGATATTCTCGTGTAGAATCAATAACATCTCTTAAAATAAAAATAAAAATTAAAAATTAAAAATAAATTTATTTTCTTGAATAGATTTATTTTACCAAAAATGTGTAGGATCTTCAACATATTCTAATAAAACATCTGACATTTCAACAAGAATTTGTAATTCACGAAAAACGTTTGTGTTACGTTTTTAAATATAAACTGGAATACTTTTCTATCACTTTATTTGTCATAAACTAGTAATCCAAATAACTACATGAAAACACAGTAAAAATTACAACTATTTATATATAAAATTTACAGATATTTGAACATCCGAGAAACAGATGGAATAACAGGTCATGACGTAAGAAGAATAGAAAAGAACATGACGTCAGGACGGACAAAGAATAGTTCCATATGATAACACATGATGTTCTTATGACCTTATGACATAACAACATGACGCATAGCACTGACCGACGCATGACGTCAGTAGAACAGAAAGGAAAAGAATAGTCACATTTCCAAACATATGATCTCTTTATGTCCTCATGACATAACAGTTTGGCTGTTGATTTGTAATTTCCTAAACAAAAAAATTTAATTTTATCATTTTCTATTTGTCATTCTTTTTGTTTTCTTCTACCAGTCTATTGATGACTGTTTACTTGTATAGATTTTAATGCATTTTCTATCGATTCAATAGTTGTCGCTTTTTTGTTAAATGATTCTACACTATCCATAATTGTTTTTAAATTCTTATCTAAATTAACAATCGTACTATTAAATTTATTCAAATCTTCACTATATATTTGATATTTCAATTTTCCTTCAGCTAATTTTCGAGCTATATCTTGTAGATTAATATTTAAAAATTTTATCTGAGCCTCCCATTTTACATTCTGAAAGCAGACACATGTACTAAATCAGTTATGTTTTTATCTCAATTACCTATTGTTAGTTAATTTTGCTCGAGGTGGGGAGGGGGAATGTAACAAATTTGAGATTTATGATGATGCGAGTCGCATCATGCGACTAGAAAATAATCTTTTTATTTTATCTATTCTGATAGTCAAGTAAAACATTGAATGATTGTTTTACCTTCAGATGTACCACTTTGAAGAGACCATCGCATCACATGTTGGTTTCCTTGATCGCAGATGCACAGTGGGCATTTAGGCGGCATTTTCTGAAAAAATCGTAGGTACGAAATTTTCTGTTTTGAATAGCGGTATATATAGTGTAAACAATGCCCTATTTAACAGTGAAAAAATTTTTGTTCTAGCTG